CCAGGAACATGCTCATGGTGATGTGATATTGCTCATGAAAAGTACTCGAAACAGGTTCTATGGCTGTACCCAAAGCGAACTCAGTGGTTGTTTGCACAAAACCAGCGCATAAGAGGTTGATGCACCCTGTTGAATTGTATGAATCTTTCTGCAAATCCATATATAAAGAGTATAGTTATAAATTCATGGACGTAAATTGAGATATTCCAATGTCAATATTCATGTAATGGTGTTATACTTACTGTCCAGTAGGTAAAGAGACGTGTGCGGGAGTCTCCGAAAACGCGTGGATTTACCTGAAATAGTTTTTATGGCAACCTGTTTACGGTTTACTTCTAACGCAAGCTATAGAACTTCTAGGGCTGGAAAAACGTACCACCCAACCAGCTTCTATGGTCTCAAATTTATCAGAGAGGCCAGCAAGCAGCCAGATCTGAGCGGAGCTGTAGTCCCCAGCCTCAACTCTTGGAGGATTCCACACATTTATGTCGGATTGAGCGCCAATAAAATTAAACCCTACCGCGAGAACAACAGCCTCCTATATCATCAAAACTTGAAAGCTAGGTTTAAGAAAAAAACTTATACGAAAATTAGTTAAAAAAAAAAAACTTATACGAATCAAAAAGGGGTCAATTTGGTTAATAACCAAAAAAAAATAAAACATAATAACTAACCAAAAATCCTAAAATTAATGGCTATAATTAATGCCACATAGGATATTTTACTTAGTTATTATGTTTTCATTTTTTTCTTGCTTATATTTGTCAATTTCCCATTCAAAAATCAAAAACGTATTACATAATACAACAACCAAAAACATAACGATTAGAAGGATTATGGTTGCAAAATCGTAAATAAGTAACGTTTGTTTCGCATGCGTGATTTGCCCTCGTGTTATTTTTGTAAATAAACATTTAAATTAGACTATTTGGTGCATATATATATAGAAAAATTTCAAAAAATGCCACTTTTCAAGTGCCATTTTACAAAAATAACACACTTTTAAAATTTTACAAAAATGCCACTTTTCAAATTTTTTTTTTTGGATATTATTTATGTTTGAGTTAATTATGTTCTA